GTTCTTGATCATATGCTACCTCTGGAAATGGTTGAACATCGGCCATTTCTTTTTGGTACAGTGACTCTGTGGTATACCTTCCATCTTCTTTTGATGCCTTCTGTATGATTCAATGAAGGCTAGGTTGAGGAAATCAACTAAAGTTTACAAAGCTACATCTTTTGGAGTTAAAAGACATGATGGAACCTCAGTGGCACACGAGATACTTTCTTACTGAAGCAAGAGAAATTAGAGACAAACAAACAAACAAACAAAAAACCAAGATCTGTGTGGTGCTTGTGGGTTACTGTGCTGGACTGCAAAGTTGGTATGAACCACAAGGTCAGTCGTTCAAACACACCAGTTGCTCCTTGGAAACCCTGTACAGGGTTGCTATGGGTTGGAATCAACTCGACGGTACTTAACAACAACAACAATTTAAACTATGCAATATCACCATTCTGGTTGCCATAATAAAATTGTTGAATGACTAACAGTACTTACAATTATGCTGTTTTGTACCACTAAATTCAATTGTATTTTTATTAAAAATCCTGGCTTTTATAGAAAAAAAGGAAAGAAAGAACTATCCATGGAACTGGATAAATAAATAAATTATGGTACATAGGCTTGATTATTATGCAGCCTTGGAATGAATTAGACCTATATGCCAATAAAGATGTCTAAGATAGATGAAGTGTAAAGATGTCCAAGGTACAGGAAGTGAAAACGTTTGATAAATGGGGACATGACATCATGTCATTTAATTGTGTGTATGTGTGTTCCAGCTAACAGTGACAGTGGCTACCTTGGGGAAATGGGAAGGAAGGACAGATTGGAATTAAAGGACATTCTCTGAGATTTTATTTGAACCGTAAATCAATCCTGTGCAAACTCTTAAATACTGCTTTTTAAAAAAGCATTTTCCATAGTTAGTGGCCAATGCTTCATCAATGTTTTCAGTTTAAAACCTTCAGGGGAGCCATTGGTATAAAATTCTGATGTAGTTCCATGCTTAAAAAAGGATGTGGTGGTGGTGGTGGTGGGGTTGTTTAGTGGTGACTGTTAAGTGCTGGTGAGTCTGTTCCAAGGCACAGCAACCCTGTATAGGGTTTCCAAGGAGCAACTGGTGGGTTTGAACCACTGACTTTCTGATTAGCAGTCCAGTGTCTATCCTACCGCACCACACCAGGACTCCTAAAAAAAAAAACAAAACAGATACCTAGACACTTGAGAGTTAGTTTCCAGGTGAAGATGCACTGAAGGTAGGAAACCGACACCAGAGTCCTAGACCGACCCGGAAGTGCCTGAGCTCAGTCGGCGCACGAGGGTTGGGCTAACGTCTTCGCAGCCCGGCCATTGTTCCAGCCGCTGCGCTCTTCTCAGCGCCGGGGCGGGAGCGCCCCCCTTCCTTTCCAGCTCTTGGGAGTTGGTCCCCAGAACCAGCGGTGAGAAAGGGGTGTGGAGAGTGAACCTCTGTCCCGGGAGATCGGAGTAGGGGAGGAGGAGGGAGTCCTAGGCCCTAGGCACCCGGTGGACCCAACCTGACATCCAGGGGCTGTGGGGTCCGTATGAGGGCTGCCAGACTGAAGGGCTGATGATGGTAGGAAGACTAACTCATCACTGTGTGCATATATTTATATACTTATTGTTCACCTATGTAATTTGTACGTATATAAAAAGGCATGTCAGAGGAAATGCTTTTTTGGGGAAAGGACAAAAATAACAGACAATAACGTTTTGCAGCCCGCATTATGGAGAGCCAGTAAGTGTACGTGTACTCTCACCTTCTGGTTACAAAAACAAAAGGGGGGGGGGTATTGAGCAGACTGGTTTTCAGGGGCAGAGTGTGACAGTTCTTGATTCTCTGTCCTTTAGTTCAGTGAGTCTCAAAGGCAGAGTGCATGCACATCACGGAGGAACCTGTTAAAGATGCTTATTTGGGGATTCCCTGCGTTCCCCTCCGCTCAACTCACTTTCTATAGTCGCCCGCCAAGGCACCACTGTGAAGCTGGAATCCAGCTTTTTATTTACGTTCACTGACATTTTAGACATTTAAGCCTTCTGGGCCCTGGGCACTGCCTGAATTTATGTGGAAGCCAGCTTCCTTGATTTCTGCGATTTTTTATGACTGTCCTCAAAAAGAATTTAACCAGATGATGGAGTGTGTGCTGACGGACTGAGACCAAAGAAAAAAGAAAAAAAGAATTTAACGTTGGGCAACTCCATTTTTCTACCTTCTATTTCGTATCTAAGGAACTCTGGTAGCATAGTGGTTACGAATCCGGCTGTTAATCTCAGGGCCAGCAGTTCAACACTACCAGCTGTTCCACAGGAGAAAGGTGAGGCATTCTGCTCAGGTAAAGATTTACAGCCTCAGAAACCCTGTAGAGGGTCACTATGAGTTGGAACCGACTCCAAGTCACATCACCACCACCAACCACCATTTCTTATCTAGCATAGTGGACTGCTAATCTCTTGGTCAGCAGTTCTAAACTACCAAAGGGTCAGCAGTAGAAAGATAAGGCTTTCTTTTCCCTTAAAGATTTATAGCGTTGGAAACCCTATACAGGATCACTATAAGTCTGAACCAACTACGGGGCACATAACCATATCTTACCTAGAAGATAGAAAAGTGAAGTGGGTTGCCCAAGTTTAAATTCTTTGTGAGAACCATTGTAAGAAACTGCAGAAACCAAGGTTCTATTTCTTATCTAAGGAGCTCTGGTAGCATAGTGGTTATCATTGGGCTGCTAACTTCAAGGTCAGTTGTTTGAAACTACTAGGTTTTTGCTGGAGAAAGATGAGACTTTCTGTTCCCTTAAAGATTTACAGCCTAGAAAACCTATATGCTATGAGTCAGAACCGACTCCACGGCACATCATCACCACCACCATTCTTATCTGGAATCCTGGTGTGGCGCTTCATCCTAAGTACTAGACCGCAAGATCGGTTTGAACTGCTAGGTTGGAGGTTCAATCCACAGCTGCTCTTTGGAAACCCTATCCAGGGTCGCTATGAATTGGAACTGACTTGTTGGCAAGAAACAACATCAATTTCTTATCTTGTGATATAGCGAGTCTACTAAAACATCAGAGGGTAATTGTGAGGAGTAAATGCCATCTTGTATTTGAAAGCATTTTTTAGACTGTGGTACAGTGTTGACTGGTAAGTTTAGAAAGCTTAGGAAGCAGCCGCTTGTGGAAAACTCACAGGACTTGGAATCTAACAGAGTTTTTCTTTCTGTAAACTTAGTGGCAGCAACACCAACCTTAACTGAATGTTTTGAATATTAATTTAAGAAAACTCAAGGAAAGACTTTAATAAATGTTACTTCGTCCATAAGTTAAGATCATGAACAACATTTCCATTTATTCTGTCACTTAATTTGACTTTTATACAGCAAGTCCAAAAGTTTTATCCAGACATTCTGGTGATCTGTGTGCTCCCTAATCCATGGGTCATTTCCCCCATGAATTTTATAAGATATTTTTACTACTTCTTTTTCACAGAGAGAAACTGAGATTAAAATAAGAAATTGGTATGTTGTTGTTGTTAAGTGCGGCTGAGTCGATTCCGACCCATAGCGACCCTGTATAGGATTTCCAAGGAGTAGCTAGTGAGCTTCGACTGGCGACCTTACAGTTCAAATGGCTTTACAGTTTGGCACATTAACCCACCATGCCACACCAGGATTTTATGGGAGCAGAAAGCCTCATCTTTCTCCTGTGGAACAGCTGGTAGTTTCGAACAGCTGACTGTGAGATTAGCAACCCGATTCGTAACCACCACACTACCAAAGCTCCTTTCCATAAAGATTACAGCCTTGGAAACCCTACGGGACCATATATATAAGGGATTTGAGCATACGCAAATTTTGGTATCCAATTCCCTGCTGATACTAAGGAAGGACTGTAATGGAAAATGCAAATACCCAGACCTAGGTTTGATCCTGGCTCTAACATTTGCTACTTGTGTGACCTTATACCAATTTCTTTTTTTTTTTAATCTGCATATGCTCAAATCCCTTATGTAAAATTATATATGTAGATAGCACTTTAAGCTCCCGCTTAGCCTTTAAGGGATTGCTTTGACAGCTTAATTGCATTTTTTTTTCCTGAATACTTTTGATCTGGGCTGGCTGAATTCGTGGGTGCAGAACCCAGATATGGAGGACTGACTATGTTTCCATCTTTAGTCACCACAAAGCAAAGAGAAAAACCATTGTCATAAAGTCAATTCCAACTCATAGTGAGTGACCCTATAGGACAGAGGAGAATGGTTCCGTAGGGTTTCCAAGGCTGTTATCTTTATGGAAAGGAGCTCTGGTAGTGTGGTGGTTACAAATCGGGCTGCTAATCTCACGGTCAGCTGTTTGAAACTACCAGCTGTTCCACGGGAGAAAGATGAGGCTTTCTGCTCCCGTAAAGATTTATAGCTTGGAAACCCTGTAGAGGATCATTTTGAGTCGGAACCAACTCCACAGCACATAACACCACCACCACCAATCTTTATGGAGAAGTCCTGGTGTGGTGCTGTGGGTTAATGCACCAGACTGCCAGGTCGGCTGTTCAAGCTCACCAGTCGCTCCTCGGAAACCCTGTATAGGGTCACTATGGGTTGGATCCGACTCAACAGCACTTAACAACAAGAACAACACAAAGCTGGCAGCTCAAGACTGTAAGTTCGGCAGTTCAAGCTCACCAGCTGGAAACCCTATACAGGGTTGCTATGGGTCGGAATCGACTCGATGGCACTTAAAAACAAAACAAAAAAATCTTTATGGAAGCAGATTGTTAGAGGCTTAGAACCAACAACCTGTCAGTTAGCAGCCAAGCGCTTAACCACTGTACCACCAGGGCTTATTATTTTCAGTGAAGAACTTTTAAAGACTCCGACAATTACTTATCAATTCATGTTATCAACTATTGTCATTTTTCTGTTTTAACAATGATTTTTACTCCTTAGGGAGGGAGCCTAACTCCAGCTGGAGAGTACCTTTAAAGCTATCCAAAGTCAACATGAACACAGATATGAGGGAGGTTTTATCCCTGGATGCTCAAGTTCCTGAGGTGTGGCAAGGGCTTCCAAAAGAGAAAGTGGATGCAGAAAGCCTCCAAAGACAGGAATCCAGACTGAAACACAATAATCCACTGGCAAGAGAGATCTTCCGAAGGCGCTTTCGGCAGCTATGCTACCAGGAGACTCCTGGGCCAAGAGAAGCGCTTAGCCAACTTCAAGAATTTTGCTGCCAGTGGTTGAGGCCACATGTGAATTCCAAGAAACAGATTTTGGAGCTGCTAGTGCTGGAGCAATTCCTGACTATCCTGCCTGAGGAACTCCAGGACTGGGTGAGGGAACATTGTCCAGAGAGTGGAGAAGAGGTCGTGATTCTGCTGGAGGATCTGGAGAGAGAGCTTGATGAACCACAACATGAGGTAGGAAGGGAAATTTACTAGGGAAAAAGTATATATGTGGGTCATCAAGGACTTTGTAGCTTCTGTCTTGTATCCCCTTGGCTTTGGTAATTAATGAAGACCCTGGTTCCAATTTTCTTCTTTCTGAGACATAGATTTCTTCAGAAGTCAAATCTTGTCTCGTTGTCCCCAGATGGTAGTCCACAGACACGAACAAGAAGTCCTCTTTAAAGAGAGATTGCCTCTAGGAAAGCAGACATCACAGAACCTTCAGTCCCAACCCAAGGAGCCCCCGCTTACATGTGACCCTGCTCAAGAGCCCTACCCCATTGGAGAGACAGGTGAGGGACAAGATTTATCTGATGTCGCACATACCCATCTGATTAACCAAAATCAAAACCAAGAACCAAACCCAGAGCTGGGGAAAGAGATCAGAGGCTTTTTAAGTAGGGAGCAGCAATGCATAGCGCTTTCGAGTACCAGTGTGCTGGTAATTATCCCCCCACCCCCCTGCATGCAGTCCTCCCTGCATACCATCCTGGCTGGACGTCTTCTGGCACATGGCACATTCAAAAAGCTTTCAGAAAGTACTGAAGCCAGTTTTAGAGAATGGACTTTGAGGTTTGACTGACATTGGTTCAAATCATGGCTTCTACTCTTGGAAGTTGCTGGTATTTAAGCAGGTTACTTAACGACTTGACCTCAATTCCCCCATCTGCAAAGTGGGATAATACTATGTACTTTAGAAGATTGTTGTGAGCATCAAATAAAATAATTTATCAGAAGCACTTAGCACTATGCTTGGCATCATAAATTTGCTTAATACATGGTAGCTGTTTATATCAGAAAACTCCAGTGCTACCCTTACTGATTTTCTACACTTAAAATGCAAAGGTATGAGATGTGCTTATGGAGCTAGCAGAATGTATGGGAGAATCCAGTGACTATCAGACTTAAAATTTCCTTATATGTAACTGTCTTAGTGGTGGCAGTGTCCTCTCCAGCGACTACAGTAGTGCATGTTTGGGGTAGAGTCAGCTGCCTTCCCATTCCAGCTCTCCCAGAAGCAATTGGCTCCATTTACAAGGTCACAGCTTTTTAAGGTCTTTTGTTAGCCTCTGACAATCGTATGCAGAGTTCTACTGTTTTCAGTTTCACATTATCCCTGTTAAGGATTAAAACTCCATGGTCCCTAACCTTTCTGCCTCTAGCCTTTATTTCTCACATCTGCTCTCTAGCAACCATTATCATGGATTTCTGTCACTTGGATCACATCTTTAAATTTAAAGTAAAATATATTTACTAAGTAAATCCTGTACACAGTACAAGCATTTCTTGTATTTCCATGACTTCATCATCTTAAAATCCCTTCTGGTTCATATTCCTCCCATATGAGCACATTTCTAGTCAATTCCTTTGTTACTTTTTTCTTTTCCCCATGAAATTGGACTTAGGAGCCTGTCTTTCAGGAAGCACATCTGAGTAAGTTTACCCGCCCCCGCCCCCCCCCCACCTACCGATCAATTAATCATTCTTTCATTCAACAAATACTTATTAAACATCTACTATGGCTGCAGGAGACTACTGAGAGGGCATCTACAGATTTAAGCATTCTGCTTGTAGGACTATGACTGAAATTGTATGCTAAGAACTCAAGAAAAGCCAATATTGGGAGGCAACATAGTACTTACTGAAGATTGCAAAGACCAAATCCAGGTCTTAGCTCTTCAACTTCTTAGCCAAGTAGCATTTAAAAAGTAATTTTGTATTACTGAGTTTGGGTTTCTTTTAAATTCATGCTGATTGTAAAATACTACTGAAAAGTTTGTAGTGAAAGTTCTCCAAATTCAACTACTCAGGGGTAATCAGTTTGCTGTGTGTATTTCCAGATTTTTTATAGTCTGTCTATCTATATATCTTCTTTTTTCCCTCTAATCCTTTAAAGAGGTAGGATAGTAACTTCAAGGGGTTTTGTGGTGACTTAGTTTGATAATGTGCATGAAAGCACTATGGAAGGTTCTATATATAAATGGTAGTTATTAATAAGTGGGAAATGTCTAGTTTTCATATTCTACCTGGATGTCCCTTGTACATTTATAGATATGAAGTTTGAGCAAAAGGGTAGCACTGATTCCACTTATGACCCATTTCTTCTCTGCAGATACATTTCTATTTTCAAAGCCTATTGTGATCTCCCAGCTGAAAGGAAATGGAGAACCATGGTCTAACAACAGAAGAGGCCTAAGAGATACTTATCCAGGTACATGAGGGGTACTACAGTTAGATATGAAAGAAAGAACTAGGTGTTTCAGTCAACTAGGTGTGCTGGGAGTTTCCTGGGTTACAAGGTGGAATCACATGTGGGGATTCTGAGGCATCTGAAAGATACCATAATACCTGCTCTGTAGTGCTTAGATAGTGTGGGTTTGTTTCTCTCATTTTTCACCTTCAGTTCCTCTAAGCAAAGATTTCAGTGGATTGGCTGGACACCGTCCAATAAGGAGCAGTGTTATGGGGTGGGGTAACCTTTGCCTCAGGTGCCAGCCTCTCAATGTACTAACTGTTTTGATTTATGTTCAAATTTGACTTCAAGACAAATTTAGGAATGGAATTCGTTAATAATCTGGGTCTCAATCCTTTCCCTTTCATTAATTCATTCAAAAAATACCTATGTGTGCCAGGCATGACTTTCAGGGAATGAAATAGGAAGATCTCTGTTCTCATAGAGATTAGCTTATAGCAAGGGGGAGACAAATAATAAATATAAAAATAAGGATATTACATACTGACATCAAGTCAATTCCAACTCATAACAACCCTATGTAAAGTTTCCAAGATGATAAATCTTTATAGAAGCATATAGCATCATCTTTCTCCCTTGGAGTGGACCTTTCAGTTAGCAGCTCAGTTCCAACCCACAGTACCACCAGGGCTCCTTACGTTAAAAAGTAAAAATATAGCAGGGTAATGGAGATAAAGAGTGGAGATTTCCAGGACAAGGGAAGTGCTGGAGGAAAGGTCCTGTGGTAGGCATGAATCTGAAAAGGGTGTGGATTTGTAAATTGTAACGTCTCTCTAAACCACCAAGAAGAGTAAAAGCTAAATACTTGCTCCATAAAGCACATGAGGTTGCTTTCCACAGACAGGGTCACTTTGAGGATCTTACCACATAAAGGGGAAGAAGTTCCCAGGGAAAACTCAGAAGTAACCCTGACACTGACCCTTCTGGCCCCTTGAAACAAAAAGATCCCTCTAGGACCAGTCCATATGAACTGTGCTACATTTTGCCAAAGAGAGCAAAAGTAACAAACACCTTGGGGAAGGTGTTACCACTGACCCTTCTGTTTCTAATCTTTTCCTTTTTTATAACGTCAGGCTATAAGCACTGTGTATTTCTGTAAATGTCATGATGCTCTTGTCAGTTCAGGGAACACGTGATAGTTACCTAGTTTAACCAAAACAAATATTTGTTTCAGATGGAGTGACCAAGATTCAGGACAGGAAGTTGGTGCTAAGGAAAGACTGTTCTAAGACTATGGAAGCAAAGGGGAAAATGCTTCATGGACAGTCCTGGGTATCGTCCCAATGTACCCAACATGGAGAAGTTGGTAAACATAAGGGTCAAACTGAGGGGAAATGGGGACACCCCTTGCGAGAGGGACAATACAAATGTGATGAATGTGGGAAGTGCTTTGCTCAGAGCTCAGGTCTCATTCGACATCAAAGAATTCACACTGGAGAAAGACCCTATGAATGCAATGTGTGTGGGAAAACCTTCAGTAGAAGTTCTGGTCTTTTCAATCATCGGGGAATCCACAATATACAAAAACGGTACCACTGTAAGGAATGTGGCAAAGCCTTTAGTCAGAGTGCAGGCCTTATTCAGCATCAGAGGATCCACAAGGGAGAGAAGCCTTATCGTTGTCCTCAGTGTGATAAGTGCTATAGTCGGCGCTCATTTCTCATTGAGCACCAGAGAAGCCACACAGGAGAACGACCTCACCAGTGCAAGGAATGTGGGAAAAGCTTTAATCGTCACTGTAACCTTATCCGTCATCAGAAGATACACACAGTGACTGAGCTGTTCTAGCTCTCTAAGCAGGTGGATTTTCCAGATCACACACCAGACCAGATGGGGTGGGATAAGACTAGAAAATTTCTTTCTTCCTGTCTCCACTACATGTGTTTTCAAACACATTTAGTGAGTGACTCAGGGACGTTCTATGGAAAAGCTCTGGGTTTTTGAGACTATTGATTTCCTTTTCTTCCTGCCCTTGTTCTTACTATTACTGTCCCTGTTATTTATTCTCTTTGAAGAAGGTAATAAACACTGCTGGTATAGCCAATAAAATCTGTATCTGTTTCATTTCTAAAGACTACATAGAAGTCCCTGGTGTAGTGATACAGGTTAATGCTCTGGACTGCAAGGGCAGTTTGAACTGCAAGGCTGGCAATTCAAGCTCACCAATCACGCCTCAGAAACCCTATACAGGGCTGCTAAGTGTCGGAACTGACTAGATGGCACTTAAAATCAACAACAGAACATAGGACTCTGCTGATATTTTATAATTATTGCGTTTTTGGTATTCCCCGTGACTAAATACCCACACTGTAAACACCTTTTCCATCTTATAGCTTCCCTATAATGCCTACATTTCTCTCCTTGGAACAGAGACCAGCATTGGCTTTAGTGCTTTACTTTGTGTCCAGTGGTTCCATTTACTTAGCCTCAGTCAGTTTCACAATAATGGAAATGAATGTTACCATTATTCCATTTTACAGCCGAAGAACCTAAGATTTAGAAAGATTCCCTTAGTGCTTTTCCTTCACATCATCCATCAATGTTAAAAAAAACTCACTGTGTCCTGAGCAGAGGGTCCAAATAAGATGCCGTAAGTCTCCTGAATTTTGTCCTGCTGCTTGTTACGGTGGTGGTGTGCTTTGGAGTCGATTCTGACTCATAGCTACCCTGTATAGGGGTTCCAAGGCTGTAAATCTTTATGGGAGCAAAAAGCCTCATCTTTCTCCTGCAGAATGCCTGGTAGTTTCAAACTGCTGACCTTGAGGTTAGTAGCCCTATTCGTAACCCTTAGGCTACCAGAGCTTGCTGCTTGTCATAGGTCTGGATTAAATTAATTTTTCTCCTGTATAAATTGTTGGTGAAATTTCCTTCAGTTTCAGCAATGTGTGAGAGAATGCTTTAGCAGAAGGTCAAAGATGAGTTCTGTAACCTTCAGCGTTCTGCTCCCAAAAGAGGTTCTTTTCCAGTAAAATTTCTCCTCTACCTGGGATTAATACAGTTCTCAAAATTTCCCACGCCCCTAAGGCCTTCTTTTCCTTTCTTCCTTTTTCCTTCTGATTTTCCCCACCAAAGTTGCCCTATTACTTACCCTTTAACCTACTTGATTTGAGTGGAGATTTCCCAAAAAGATGGAAGTGAAGGCAGAGAAATTCTGCAGTTTGCTGGGGATGACCCGGTGATACAAAATTTAAGCTGTGTATGTTTATCAGTAACTCTTAAATAACTATTTGAATTGGGTTTTATATAACTTAACTTTTTATGGAAATTTTCAAACAAAAAGATAGCTAAGAATACTCCTGGGGCCAGAAAAAAACACCTCAGAGACTTTCCTCAAAAACTACTGCAAAATGGTTTGCTTTTAATTGTTTTACACTGTAGAGCTATTCATGCCCTAAGTCATCATCATACACAATAGATTTATCTGTCACTAATTAGTGAACCTACATAATATCAACAATATTTTTTATATCCCATGCGAGTAAAGTTTTATTAAAGGTAACACAGTAATGGCTGCAATCATACATTGACAGAGAACTTCCAGAGGTTCAAGCTGGATTCAGAAGAGGCCATGGAATGAGGTATGTCATTGCTGATGTCTGATGGATCTTGGCTGACTACACAAAGGCTTTCAATTGTGTGGATCATGACAAGCTATGGACAACATTGCGAAGTATGAGTATTCCGGAACACTTAATTATGCTCATGAGGAATCTGCACATGGACCAAGAGGCAGTAGTTCGAACATAACATGGAACACCGAATGGTTTAAAATTAAGAAAGGTGTATGACAGGGTTGTATTCTTTCACCATACTTATTCAACCTGTATGCTTGAACAAATAATCTGAGAAGCTGGTTTATATGAAGAAACACATGGCATCAGGATTGGAGGAAGACTCGTTAACAACCTGTGATATGCAGATGATACAACCTTGCTTACTGAAAGTGAAGAGGACTTAAAATACTTATTGATGGAGCTCAATGAGAAGAAGAAAGAAGAAGAAGAAAAAAGAGTAATCTGATACGATTTGATGAACTTGACCTATACCTATGGATGCAGTAACTCAAAGGAGGGAACAAATCTTTACAGAGAGGATCATTCCCACCCACTCCATACACAGAGTAGACAGAGATGGACAACTTAGACATTGGCTACCCAAAATGGGGGAGGGGAATGCTACAAAAGCAAGAAGTGACCGGCTTACAAGCTTTCAAGAGGGAACCTAGATCCAGAGTGCAGAGGAAGGTAGACTCTCCACTGAGTAGTATCCAATCTGTCTGGGTGGGGCTGATGAAAGGGGATGGGGATAGGTCCCTTGTGGTACAATGGTGAATTATTGTTATCAGGACTGACTACACAGGTTGGAAATGTAAAGGTGGACATTTTGTAGCAAAAGGAGGGGAGTGATTGACTATGCAGTCCAGGAGCCGAGGTCCCTAGAACCATCAAGGGAGAAGAGCAGAGAGTGAGACCCTACCCAGAGAAGCAGTGACGCCAGAGATTGAGGCAGAGACGATGACATGGAGAGATGGGTGGGGACTCTGGACGCAGAGAAGGAGAGGAACTGTATGCTGATGATCAGGGGGCAGGCGTGCAGGGTATACCCTTTGGTTGGTTGATGATGCATGGAGGGGATTGTAACCATGACAATGAAAAGATAAATAAGATAGGATGAATGTAAAGCTAATGTTCTCTCATGTAAACTATCAAATAATTCACAATAAAACATTTAAAAAAAAAGAGAGAAGGTAATAGAAGTTAGTAGCACTTAGTATCTTTCTTGAAAGTCTTCTACTGTTTGTTTTTAAAACAGTGTTTTAAATATTTTGCTTTTGAAACTAAAACCTGGGAATTAAGCAACAGGACTTGTGACAAAATAACATATACAGAGCCTTTTGTTGCTTCTGTAGATGTAGTTTGGGAAGATGAGGAGAGCAGCAAAGCATGCATTTTGGTTTGTCAACATTTACACAGCTTTCATTATACCTCACTAATCATAGATTTGGAGTAAGAGGAGGCTGTATGCTCCCATAAAAATATACAATCTCTGAAACTTGAATCAACTCTATGACAATGGTTTGTTTGCTCTGTTTTTGTTTCTATACAATGGATACAACTTTGTTGTGCAAGTATTGACTATCTTCCTAAAGCAATGTCAAATACCTATATGACCATTCCATATCTGGCTTTTCTGTTAAAAATTATTAAAGGGGTGATGATAACCCATGCTTTTTTATAATAATGTGTATGAAACTTATGTGACTATACTTGAATATATATTTGTGCTCACTGTATATGAAAAAAAAAACAGAAAAATATGCTCTAACAACAACAACAACAAAATACTGATGAAGACCAATGAGCACAGCCTTCTGTATGGATTGCATCTCAATGTAAAGAAAACAAAAATCCTCACCACTGGACCAATAAATATTCTTACCAATGGAGAAAAGATTGAAGTTGTCAAGGACTTCATTCTTCTTGGATCAACCATCAACACTCAAGGAAGCAGCAGTCAAGAATCAAACAATGCATTGCATTAGGCAAATCTGCTGCACAAGACCTTTTAAAGTGTTAAAGAGCAAAAATGTCAGCTTGAGGACTAAGGTGTGCCTGATCAAGCCATGGTATTTTAAATAATCTCATATGCATGTGAAAGCTGGACAGTGAATAAGGAAGACCATAGAATTGATGTTTTGAGTTATGGTGTTGGAGGAGAATATTGAAAGTGGCGTGAGCTGCCAAAAGAACCAACAGATCTGTGTTGGAAGAAGTGCAGCCAGAGTGCTCCTTGGAGGCCAGGATGGTCAAACTTCATCTCTCATACTTGGGACATATTGTCAGGAAGGACCAGTCGCTGGAGAAGGGTATCATGTTTGGTAAGGTGGAGGGTCAGAGAAAAAGAGGAAGAACCCCCATCAAGATGGATTGGCCAAGTGGCAACAATGAGCTCACACATGGCAACAATTGTGAGGTTGGCCCAGGATTGGACAGTGTTTTGTTCTGTTTTGCATAGGATCACTATGAGTCAGTACTGACTCAATGGCACCTAACAACAACAACAACAACAAAATATCAATAGAGGTAGACAGTTTAACAGAGATCAGAGAAAGAGACAAAGCAAGCTCTACTAAAACCAATGTTACCTCCTAACTGTGTGCAGGTTGCTGTGCCTCTACAAGGCTTTGCTGGGCTCAGCTAGGCTGGTGCTCAAGTTGCTGCTTAGATTCAGATCTACTTCACTGCAGACTTGAATGCAGAACATAGGATCAGCATTACTTGGGTAGCTTGTTCCCCGAATTAGTTGAGAATACACTCAAGGAGTCTAGTGGAAACACAGCATGCCTTTGCGATGTCTGTTCAGAACTAGCACACTATCACTTTCACTTATATTCCATTGGCCAAAGTTGGCCACAAGACCAAACTTAAAGTCAATGAGGCACGAATATATCCACCCCTCTGTAGCATTGTTTTTGTTGTTGTTAGGTGCCATTGAGTCAGTACTGACTCATAACGACCTTATGCACAGCAGAACGAAACATTGCCCGATCCTGGGCCAACCTCACTACTGTTGCCATGCTTGAGTCCATCGATGTTGCCACTTGTCCAATCCATCTCGTTTGGGGTCTTTCTCTTTTTCTCTGACCCTTCACCTTACCAAACATGATATCCTTCTCCAGTGACTGGTCCTTCCTGACAATATGTCCGAAGTATGAGAGACGAAGTTTGGCCATCTTGGCCTCCAAGGAGCACTCTGGTTGCACTTCTTCCAAAACGGATCTATTGGTT